CACTGTCTGCTGAACCCATGCAACCTGCCTTTCACTGCATCAGATCACTGTCTATCATAATCAGTATTGCAGACTCTTGACTGGCAGCAGCTCTACATGGTCACCATTTACTTATTCCTCTTTACTAGAGAGGATGTGGACTGAACCTGGGACCTTCTGCATGCAACACAAACACTTAAGCACTCTGCCATGCCCCCTTCTCAGCTGTGGCACCCAGTGTTGATGGATCGGTTTGGATAGTCCACCTTTGGAAGTTGACAGATTTGACTGGATTACAAGATGTTGTGGGGGATTCTGACAGTCCAATTGGTAACTAGGGATGAGCACAAATTGGATCACAAACTCAATTTAATGATGAGTTTTGGTCAGTTCATGGTTTGTGAACTCAAGTTCATGGCAGGTCAACCAGCACAAACTTTCCACAAACTTTTGAGCTGTTCATGGAGGTTCCTGCTGGTTTGTGGGTAGATAAATTTCAAGACTGTCTCCACTCGAGCAAAATATTTATGAAACTTCAAATCAACAACATGGAGGGCATATAGAAGAGCATCCGGGGGAGGTCTCCTGCAATTTTGATGTCTCTAGCTTGCACAGGATCCATTCTATACACTCCTGAACCTGATTCATTTTGACAGGCGCAGGTTCAGGAGTGTATAGAACGGATCCTGTGCAAGCTAGAGACACCAAACTCCCAGGGGATCGCTGGTTGACTCTCCTCTACCTGCTTACCAAGTTTGGTGAGGATTCGATTTACGAAATCCAAGTTATAGCCCCCCAAAGAAGGTGGCCCCAGGAAAGTGCTTTCTGGGAAATGGCAGGCGGTCAGAGTCAGCCAGTGATCCCCTGTGAATTTGGTGCCTCGGGTGGTATTCTACTGCTCCAAGAACCAAACCAGTTTGTGAGGCGGCTAGAAGTTTATGATGGTTTGTGGTTCACAAATGGGGCATGCCAAACCATGAACTGAACTGCATTTTCCCAGTTCATGCCCATCCCTAATAGTAACTATGATGCCTTTATAGAAGTCTGGAATACTGGGCTCCAGGTGACAGCAAACTGGGTTGCTTGCCAGTGCCCTATTTCACCATCATGAAAGAACACAGACCTTATGGAGTTGGGGACTGAAATGGGAAGGATAATGACTAGGACATCATCATCAGAGAATGTGGGCTGAATATGATGGTTTTTGGAAAGCTTATTGGAAAGCCTACTAAATGGTGGCGGCAGCAACAGAGAAGCAATACTTTCCCACTACCTTTGTATCAGCTAAGTCACATCCAGTTCCACTACTTAGGATATTCTGTAAATATCTGATTCTTAGGTTGGAATTTCAATGTCAGAAGGAATGCTATCAACTATGATAACACTGGCAGGTTTTTTGCTGATAAAAACTTTCCAGTTTGCTCTGGCTTTGATGACAGCTTTGGAACTGCTCAGCAGTAGAGGTATCAGCAGCACCATCTGGACCTTCTATGGATAGCTTCATCTTGGTATCCCTGATGATGATGCTTGCTAAGATTCCAGATGTTGTGAAGGCATACAACTGGGATCCTTGTCAATCCTGGCTGATAAACTCTTGCTGTGACACGATCAGTCCCGAATGAAGACCAACACTTTTGTTTGAGGGATATTTTCTGTGGGAGGCTGTTTTTTTCATCCTCTATTAAATAAGCCACCTTTTGACACAAAGAAGGTGATTAATGATATGCAAATTGCATATAATTATATGTATCTGCCCTTCATCCTTTTAAATCCAGTTTCACACCAGGCTGTGTAATAGAGATGGCACGGGTTGCTCTGTTGGATTATCTCCAATCTCATGCTGATGGAAGGTATACCTTTTTGGTCACACTGCTTTGGGTTTGATCCACCCTGCTTTTCTACTGGTAAAAAAAAGCGGAAGAGTCCCCATTGACCACCCAAAATGGCTATGCTGAAGATCATGGAACCTATATGTACAAAAACTACATGGTAGTAAACTACAGAGAATTGCAGTAGAAGAGAATTGGATAAGACTGAGCAAAAAAGCTGCCTGGATCCAACCTGTGATCTTCCAGGAGTCTCTAAGACAACTGAATGCTCAATATTGTTAAAGTGCCTGGAAGCTGGTGCACAGATTAGGGGGAAAGTGCTGGAGTGGTTTAAGTCCTCTATCTGATAGAATTCAGAAAGCTGAAGTCAGGACCCCCAATCAACTTCTTGGGATTTATCCCGAAGTATCTCATAGGGTTCTGCATTATCACGCATGCTTTCTAATATTTATACAAAGCCTTTGAATTAGGTGCTGCTTATAAATGCTAAAAACAAAAAATGTAAAGTATTTCAATGTTATCTGGTACAAAATTCTTATATGCTGGAGAAAAAGAAAATAGGATAGAGATACTTTGCAGATAGATTACCTAAGTAGGAGAGGGGACACAGGGTAGGGGTGTTGGTTCTACTCCCCTTCCTCCACAGCCAACTTGCTCTACTCTGGGTGACTTGTGACCTCACTATCCTGCCTGAGCTACAGTGCCCCATGCTGAGGAGAAAACAAGACACATAGGGAAGTAAGGGTGCCCAGGCTTTCTTTTGTCATTTGCAAAGAAAGGCACAAAGCTAAACAGCCTCAGCTATCTGTCTCTCTCACTTGAGCTGCAGGCTTCATACCAGGGAGCAAACAAGAAGGGAAGGAAAAGGTGCACACAGGCTTCCTTCAGCGGGACCTATGGCAGCCTGATGAATCACAACTCCCTTGGAACGTTCATGGCCTGACTAGGCTCCCACAGTGGGAATCCCAAGCAACTTTTACTTCCATCTTTGCCTACTCTCTTCCTCAGCATGAGCTGGTGTCCAATTTGCCCTACTTGGGCAAACTTACTGAGAGGGCGGTGGTGACACAGCTGCAGGGCTTTCTGGATGACGCTTCCCTCCTAGACCCCTTCCAGTCCGGCTTCCGTCCGGGGCATGGGACAGAGACAGTACTGGTCGCTCTTACTGACGACCTCCGACGGCATCTGGATCGAGGCGGTGTGGCGGCGCTGCTTTTGTTAGATCTGTCAGCCGCGTTCGATATGGTCAACCATCAGCTGCTGACCCACCGCCTCGCTGACGTGGGGATCCAGGGGCTCGCCCTTCAATGGCTTGCCTCTTTTCTCCGCGGTCGGGGACAAAGGGTGGCGATAGGGGAACAGCAGTCCCGGAGACACCCTCTTGAATGTGGGGTGCCTCAAGGGGCAGTTCTGTCCCCGATGTTGTTTAACATCTACATGCGCCCCTTGCCCAGATGGTCCGGAGGTATGGGCTTGGGTGTCATCAATATGCAGATGACACCCAGCTCTATCTGATGTTGGGCGGCCGGTCGGGCTCTGGCCCAGAAGATCTGCACCGGGCGTTGCAGGCTGTGGCTGGTTGGCTCCGTCTGAGTCGGCTGAAGTTAAACCCGGCGAAGATAGAGGCCCAGGTGGCAGCCACTGCCAAGTCAGCTTTTTACCACCTTCGGCTGGTGCGGCAGTTGGTTCCCTTCCTTGACCACAGTGACTTGGCCATGGTGATCCACGTGACGGTCACCTCAAGGTTAGACTACTATAACGCTCTCTACATGGGGCTACCTCTGTCGCAAATCTGGAAGCTGCAGCTGGTGCAGAATGCTGTGGCCAGGCTGCTGATGGGTCTTCCTAGTAGGGACCACATCCGGCCTGTTCTGAAAGCACTGCACTGGCTGCTGATAGCGTACCAGATTCGCTTCAAAGTGCTGGTTCTTACCTTTAAAGCCCTATATGGCCGGGGTCCAGCATACCTAAGGGACCGCCTCTCCCCATATGTTCCCCCACGGGCACTACAGTCGGGGACGCAACATCTCCTGGCGATGCCAGGCCCCAAGGAGGCCAGGCTGGCTGCTACCAGGGCCAGAATCTTCTTGGTGGCGGCTCCTACCTAGTGGAACGAGCTCCCGGAGGAGATCCGGGCCCTGCGGGACATTGCACAGTTCCGCAGGGCCTGCAAGACTTCCGCCAGGCGTTTGTGTAGGAGCCACCACTACTGTACCATCATTATCTGGCCCTGGAAGAAAGAACGATAGCGCCAAGCGGAACAGACAGCACTGAATGGGTATAACAGAATTAATACGTCATCTTTATGGAAGATCTATTCAGAACATCCAGAGCACTTAATAATAATGTTGTAATATTGTAGAAATGATTTTAAATGGTTTTAATTGTGTTTTATGTGCTGGCTTATGCCTGACTGTGAGCCGCCCTGAGCCCGTGTTGCGGGGACGGCGGGCTATAAATTGAATTTATAAATAAATAAATAAAAGAACAGACTGCTGAGGCTGCTGGCTGGATCCAAGCAAGTAGGCTCTGCAAAGGAAAGACAGGTGCTTCACCCTGCAGAATCCTCTCAACAGGCTGGCCAGTAGTACTGTGAGCCTCTGACACCTTCCAAAGCTTCAAACACTCACAAGGCACATTGCATAGTCTTCAGTCCTTTGCACACTTACCTGAGAGTAAGTTTCATTCAATAAAGTGGGACTTACTTCCAAGTAAACATGCACAGGGCAACGCTGTTAATGTCTTCACCATCTCTGAGATGGGAAGCTTTGAATTTGGTGCTTCTCTAGTCCTTTGGTCCTATCGTGGGTGAAGAAACAGGAAGGGAAACTGGGATCATTTCATCACCAGTGTGTGCCTAAAACAGAACTTGCAGTTTTCTTTTCAAAACACATTACAACTTGTTCATAATGTGTATATCAAAGTTTGCAAAGATGCAAGGATTTCACGCATAAGAGCAGGGATTTCATGCATACACGTGGGTCAACTTACGCTGCTTAATGAGGTGGCAGAATGAGGCATACCACTGCTGAATCCTAACTCATAAAGCAAGACTTGTTGCAAGTAGAACAGTTAGCATGGAAAGAGGTTCTAACCACCTTTTCTCCTGCAGCACCAGAGGACAAATTGAAAAGAACTTTTAACATAGGGAAACATTTCCTCTTTTTTTTTTTTAACAAACTGCCTAATAGAGTGTTTTGGAAAACATGACAGTTTGCATACTATTTTGTGCCATAACTCTGACTTGCAGGCCCTTCCCCTCACTCCAGATACACAAGAGCTGCTAAGGTTTAACAGTGGTGGGGAGAGAAACGCAGAAATGCTCAAGGGTACTCTAATAATTAAAACATAGGTATTTAATATTAATAGTTATGTCTTCAATTTTATGTATGTTTGGTGAGGTGGCATACAAGTCATGTAGCTCTTTTGGCTGATGCAAAGTGTGCATACGGCTCTCCATGAGCTGTGCACTACCACTAATCTATTTTAGAGAAAGCTATAAACATATTATACGTCTTAAATAATGTTACCTTGCTGCTTGTACATTCCAAAAGTCATTTCAAAGCACTGGTTCTCACCCTTAAAGACCTTTATGGCTTGGGACCAGAAATGTGAAGGACCAAAACACCCTGAAATGTTTTTCTCACCCCTACAGGCTTTTTCATTATTTACATTTGGGGAGAAGTGGATTCATTTCCCATATTTTGTTGCCCGTGAAAAAAGCTCAACCATAAAACTAATGTCTTTTGGCTTCTCCAATGGAAAACCAAAGGATCTAAACAAATAAGGAACACTATACAAGAGCTACTGATCAAAGACACATTGGAAGACCACTCAAAAGCCACCATGTTGACTAATATAAAAGAAGCATCTTCGGTGAGAAATCATTCATGTCTTGTATTATAGCGTGAACAGTTTTGGTACTCTCCTTTCATGAACAGCTTAGCTATCCAACTGAAGGGGGAGGGGGAACTAAAGCCTTACATTCCTGGGCCCTAAATAACTCTAATTGCCTCTTGAAACCAATCTGATCTCAAATTACAGATTCAAGCAACACTAAACTTTGAGGACACTTGAAATCTAGCCTGTCATTTTACAGTGGCTACCAGACTGTATTCTCAAGTTAATACATGGTTCTTGTTTCCCAGAATAGCTTTAAAGAAAACTTCTTATGAAAAATAGAGCAGAAACACTCTCCTGAACCACTCGGTGCAATAATGCAAAGAGTAAAAGATATAACAGTAAACACCACAAGGATGGGCATTTTTTCTAGAGCTACTTTCCATGATCTAGGTAACTATGGCATTCTATTCCCTCCTCCAGGCATTATTTCACTGGCCTTAAATACAAGTTCCTCAAAAGCAATATGAAAGCCACCATCAATTATCCTCCCCTAAAACTGGTTTACGTCCATGCACTACACCTTAATCAATAGCTGTTTAACAAAAATGGTCTTCTAGTTTAACAGTATCTGCATGTGCCACCTCAGATTGAAAATTTAAATTACTTATATGGTTCATATTTTTTCTAACTTTCTGGTGAACTAGTCTTATCTGAGAACTTCATTACTTGAGCCACAAACCTCAGAACCCTCAGCTTTCCACTCACATTTTGCTACAGAGACTGAGGCATGCAGTACGACAGAGGCATTACAGAACCCCAAAGATAGCTCATGTGTTGGCAACTATGAGAAACTGTTTGTATGCATCAAAATGCTTCCTTTGCTGATACCAGCTTCCTCATCAGTTAACCAAGTGTCCAAATCACCACCAAGTGATCGAACATTTCCTCTGCAAATGCATAAACAGACAGGAAAAAACACACTTCTCCCTACCTTCCCACTGAGATGGTCAGGCACAGTACATGCACAGACAGGCACTTGTTTAATGAGATCACATAACCATTACAACACCAGACACCGAACACTTTAAACAGGGCTGCTTAAAAGGGCAGGTATGTTGATGAACCTAGGATTAAAGATCATTTAAAATGGGTGTGTAGATTTAAAGATAAGCAGAGGGCAGTATCCAGAGGAGTGTTTCAAATGGGGGAGTGGGAAGCCAGCCGAGGGAAGGGAAAGTTACCTGTGGATATTCCATCTCGGATCTAAACGATCTTTTTCAGTGAGTGCAAAAGAAGGCGCGCGCACGGTCAACGAGCCCGAGTTCAGAGCACCGTATTCACCAAGCAGAACATGCTACACTTTCAGCTGCAGCTAATTGTGCTACTATAAGCTTCTTATCCCCAGGATTAGAGACAGGCACAAAGTGAGCGGCACGGAGATAATATCGGCCGGCCGCGGGTTCCGCGAGCGACACCGCTGGGCCAAAGAACGACACGCATGATGAGCCCCCTGGCAGTTTTCAGCCAGCCACGGAGACCGAGCCGAGCGACGGGTGCATCGTAAGGACAGAGCCACGCGGGGCCTCCCCTCACGGACCCACTCACTTATCGACGGTCCCTTCCCGTGCAGCCGCCGCTGCATCAACCCCGAGTCCAAAGCGGCGGCAACCCTCCCTCTCCCAGCCCCCCCGCCCCCCTCAAAAGACGCGGACGAGGCCCGGCAAGACGGCCGCCGGCAGACACGAAAGCGGCTGAGACATCTCGGTCTAAACCTACCGGACTGCCCTCGTCGCTACATCCCGCGGAGACAGGCGTGAGCACCACCGGCGGCGTCTCCGACAAACAGCCGCCCCTAACAGGACCGGAAACGTCCCCCTCACTTAGAAGCTACTTCCGTTTTGGAATTCCAAAGTCAAATGATTGTGCGGCAGCGACACTTCCGGAAATGGCCCAAGAGGGCCGTAGATGGTGCGAGTGTGGGGGGAGGAGGCTGTCGCTCTCCATCTGACTCCAAGAGCTCCCTCGTGCGGGGTTAAGAATAGCACTGTCGGGCTGCGTTTTCGGTTTGGGCCCAGGCCGCTTTCCGAGCCGATTCGTTGATACCATATAGAAACTCTGTATAAATTTGCACATCGGAATTGATGGTGTGTTTGTTTGCAGCAGCAACCCACTTGGTTGGCTGTTGTTGGGATCTAAAGTGGTGGTCGATTTCGGAAATTTATATTCTGTTTCTGTCTATTCATATGTACTTGTAAAATAAGCAAAAAAAGTGAGCACAGAATTACACCAGGATCACTCAGTCCAGGGTTGTTGTTTTTTTTGTGCATAAAACCATTTATGAGTAAATAATCCTATCCTTTTATAGTTGCATTTTGTTAATTTTACAATTTATACATCAACCAATAAAAAATAAAATTAAGAAAATACATGGGGGGGGTAACCCTCTCTTGAATAACAGAAGCCTTCCCTGTAGCGTTAATGCATTCTATGGCCTTTGCGGAAAAAGGTAAAAGTCTCATGATCCTCATGGATCCTCAGGGTTTTTCAATTGGGTCACTCCAAACACACCATCAAATCACATAACACCTCCACAGCTTGCACCACAAAAATCACAGATCCAGGGCTTCCTGGTGAAACCATTCTGCAAAAACATGATTCTGAAGCAGGGATCCTCATGGATGCTTGGGTTTTTTTCTGTTGGGACACCACAAGCATACCATGAAATCCCATAATGTCCATGGCCACAGCCTGCACCACAGAAATCACGGTGCCACGGCTCTGTGGCAACACCATGCTGCAAAAACATGGTTCCGAAGCACGGATCCTCATGGATCCTTATGATTTTTGCATCATAACATCACCATCAAATAATATGCCTTGTCCATGGCCACAGAATGCAGCACAGAAATCACATGTCCACAGCTTCGTGGCAACACCATGCTGCCAAATAGGGTTGCCAACCCCCCGGTTTGCCAGGGGTCCCCCATTTTTGGGGGGGGGGTTCTACCCGCCGCCGGCCAGAAGCCCAACACCCACAGCCACCCATCTCTCTCCCTTTAAGGGTGTGCAACCCGTGTTTCATCCCAAGCGCGAACTCCACAAGCTTGCAGGGAAAAGCCAGCTTTGTTCTTAAAAGGGAAACGCAGCTTCTCTTAAAGGGGAAACGCCGGCTGCCGGCTACTTTAAGTGCAGGGAACTGCTGTTTCTGGAGATCCAGCGCACGGCCTGATGGGGGGGGCAGCAGACGTCCCCAACGTGACGTCATCACGTTGGGGATGCCCCACCCCTTCCAGGAACGCCCCCAAAGTCCCCCGCTGGGAGTGGAAGATGGACTTGGCAACCCTACTGCCAAAACATGGTTCTGGAGCATGGATCCTCATGGATGCTTGTGGTTTTTGTGTTGGGACACCCCAAACATACCATTAAATCCCATACCATGTCCATGGCCACTACTTACACCACAGTATTCATGGTTCCCCAGCTTCGTGGCAACACCATGCTGTAAAAACATGGTTCCGAAACACAGATCCTTGTAGCTCCTCAAGGTTTTTGCATTGGGTCACCATGAACTCACCATCAAATGTTCATGGCGCAGCTCGCACCACAAAAATAATGGATCCATGGCTTCGTTGCAACACCATGAAGCCACAACATGGTTCTGAAGCACGGATCATCATGGATCCACAGTGTTTTTCCAATGGGTCACCCGAAACACAAGATAAAATCACATAACATGTCCATGGCAAAAGTTTGCACCACAAAAATCATATGTCCACAGCTCTGTGGCAACACCATGCTGGAAAAAGATGGTTCTAGAGCAGGGATCCTAATTGATCCTCAGGGTTTCAGCGCTTGTTCACCATGAGCACACCATCAAATGACATATCATGTCCATGGGCACAGCATGAACCACAGAAATCATGGATCCACCACTTTGTGGCAACACCATCAACAAAAACATGCTTCTGAAGCATGGATCCCCATGGATCCTCTGTATTTTTGCATTAGGACACCTCAAACACACCATCAAATCACAGAACGTGTCCATGGCAACAGGTTGTACCACAAAAATCACAGATCCACAGTTTCGTGGCAACACCATTCTGCAAAAACACGGTTCTAGAGCACGGATCCTCATGGATCCTCAGGGTTTCGGCGTTGGGACACCCTAAACACATCATTAAATCTCATAACATGTCCATGGCAAGAGCTTCCACCACAAAAATCACGGATCCACAGCTTTATGGAGACACCATTCTGCAAAAAACATGGTTCTGAAGCATGGATCTTCATGGATCCTCAGGGTTTTTGCACTGCATCTCCATGAACACACCATCAGATCACATATCATCAGCCTGAGCCACAGAAATCATGTATCCATAGCTTTGTGGCAAATCCACGCAGCCAAAACATGGTTTTGAAGCACAAATCCTCATGGGTTTTGCATTGGATCACCCTAAACACACTATCTAATCACATATAATGTCCATGGCCACAGCTTGTGTCAACGAAGTCATGGATCCACGGCTTCGTAACAATGCCATAAAGCCAAAACAGGGTCCTGAAGCATGAATCCTCATGGATTCTCAGGGTATTTGCAATGGGCACCCCAAACAGACCATCTAATCACATAACATGTCCATGGCAACAGCTTGCACCACAAAAATCATGGATCCACAGCTTTGTGGCAACACCATTCTGCAAAAATGTGGTTCTGGAGTACAGATCCACATGGATCCTCAGGGTTTTTCCAGTTGGGTCACCCAAATATCACCATCAAATCACATATCATCTCCATGGGCAAAGCTTGAACCACAGAAATCATGGATCCACAGCTTTGTGGCAACACCATTCTGCAAAAATGTGGTTCTGGAGTACAGATCCACATGGATCCTCAGGGTTTTTCCAGTTGGGTCACCCAAATATCACCATCAAATCACATATCATCTCCATGGGCAAAGCTTGAACCACAGAAATCATGGATCCACAGCTTTGTGGCAACACCATTCTGCAAAAATGTGGTTCTGGAGTACAGATCCACATGGATCCTCAGGGTTTTTCCAGTTGGGTCACCCAAATATCACCATCAAATCACATATCATCTCCATGGGCAAAGCTTGAACCACAGAAATCATGGATCCACAGCTTTGTGCCCCCCCCCCCGCTGCTGCTGCCGTTACTGCTGCCGCTGCCGCTGGCAGCCATAACTTTTTAAAGCACCCCTGACAAGACCTGGGGGAGCCAGAACGACCTGTCGCGTGTTGCCGCTTGGCCATCACACGTGAGAGGTGAAATTTGCCCCTAGGACTCCAAGGCCACCACCCCGGGGCTCAGAGAGGCGGGAGAACGTTTCACAGCCCCCCGGCCATTGCCACTGCCGTTACCGCTGCTGCCGCCGCCGGCAGCCATAACTTTTAAAAGAGCCCTTAACAAGACCTGGGGGAGCCAGAATGACCTCTCGCGTGTTACCGCTCGGCCATCACACGCGAGAGGTGGAATTTGCCCCAAGGACTCCAAGGCCCCCACCCTCAGAGAGGCGGGGAAACGTTTCCTGCCCCCCGCCATTGCTGTTACCGCTTCAGAACTATGTTGTGGCTTTATTGTTTTGCCACAAAGCCATGAATTCTGTGGAGCAAGTGGTGGCTATGGACATGATATGGGATTTAATGGTATGTTTGGGTGTTCCAACATAACCCCCCCAAGATTCGATGAGGATCCATACTCCAGAGCCATGTTTTGGCTTCATGGTGTTGCCACGAAGCCATGGATCCATGACTTTTGTGGTGCAAGCTGTACCCATGGAGATTATATGTGATTTGATGGTGAGTACATGGTGACCCAACACAGAAACACTGAGGATCCATGAGGATCCGTGCTTCAGAACTATGTTTTTGCAGCATGGTGAAGCCCGGGACCCCTTAATACTGTGGTGTAAGTAGTGGCCATGGCCATGGTGTGGGATTTAATGGTATGTCTGGGGTGTCCCAACACAAAATCCCAAAGCATTCATGAGGATCCATGCTCCAGAACCATGTTTTGGCTTCGTGGTGTCACCATGAAGCCATGGACATGTGATTTCTGTGGTCCATTCTGTGGCCATGGAGAAGGTATGTGATTTAATGGTAATGTTGGGGTGACCCAATGCAAAAACCTTAAGGATCCATGAGGATCCGTGCTTTGGAATCATGCTTTTGCAGCATGGAATTGCCATGAAGTCGTGGCAACATGAGTTTTGTAGTGCAGGCTGTGGCCATGGACATGATATGGGATTTAATGGTATGTTTGGGATGTCCCAACACAAAACCCCCAATGATCCATAAGGATTCATGCTTTAGAATCATGTTTTTGCAGAATGGATTCACCACAAAACTGTGGATCTGTGATTTTTGTGGAGCAAGTTGTGGCCGTGGATGTGCTATGTGATTTGATGGTGTGTTTGGGGTGACCCAAGTGATGGTCCTGCTTTGGAACCATGTTTTTGTAGAATGGTGTCGCCACGGAGCTGTGGACATATGACTTCTGTGGTGCATTCTGTGGCCATGGACAAGGCATATTATTTGATGGTGATGTTGGGGTGACAGAATGACTTTTCTGGTTCAAGCTGTGACCATGGACATGTTATGTGATTTGATGTTGTTATTGGGGTAACCCAACACAAAAACCTCAAGCATCCATGAATTGTGCTCCAGAACTATGTTTTTGCAGCATGGTGTTGCCACAGAGTCGTGGCACCATGATTTCTGTGGTGCAGGCTGTGGCCATGGACATGATATGGGATTTAATGGTATGTTTGGGATGTCGATCACGTTGGGGGCGTGGCACTGATCTTCAGTGTTAGTTCCATCTTTTTTATTTTGTCCTGTTCAGTTAATGTATTTCCATA